ATTTTAATCAAGCCTACTTTCTATTATTTTGATGGAAACGGTGACGTTTAAGTTATTTTTGCTCCAAAAAAAAAAAAAAAGAACACGGCTGTGAGTCTTCTTCTTCCCCAACCCTTTTATCCATTGCCACCGGAGGGGCTTAGGGAAGCAGCGGTGCCGCCTTGGGCTCCCGTCAGAACTACTCCTAGGGGATTTTCAGGCCGCCGGAGGGGCTCGAGACCCCCCGGGCCCCAGCGTAGTTCCGCCCTGATGGGTAAGTGGAGAAGAATAACTAAAAATTCGGGATTTTCAGGAGTTATTCTGGCTTTGTAATTTTTTTTTTTTTTTCATGTTTTACTACTTATTTCTTAAACAACTTTCGGCGTTGTTTTTTTTTTCTTTTGGGTTTTACTTTTTTTAAAAAATTAAATTTTTCTATTACCCAATTGGTTAGTTTTTATGTCTTTTTTACAAATGCCTTCTTAAATATGTCATTAAAGGTTTAATCAACTTCTAAAAACTTAAAATGTCTTAATTAACCATCTACTACCACAATTTTACTAATAATGTCATAATATCTTATTTTAATATTACACTTTCCTGATAATATCTTAATATCTTTGTCATTGTATGTGTTTTTCCTTGTACTGTCCAATGAGACAGTTTTTGCCAAATACGATCCTTAATATGGACATGACACAAATTTAGAGTTTGATTTAATTACAATTAATGGACGTAATTAAACGTAACTGAACTAGACACAAAGTTACGAAATTGGGAAATTTTTCGGCGGTTAAGTTATAAATATTTTTCTGACTAGTTCATCTAATGCTTGCCCTTAATTTACTGGGCGTTCCTGATTCAGATCTCACATTTTCAGTTTAATTATATATCTCTTGATGGAACTTCACGACGATATGATGAAACTTTATGGACACAATTGGAGATCAAAGCATAATTTTACAATTATTGTAACTCACCATATGCTGATCAGTTTGGGAAAATGAGAATATAAAATGATAAAAGAAAAACCGAGATAATTCATAATTTTTTTGTCTAAAATAATTATTCAATTTTGAGATTTCACTTTTTGTACAAATTTCTCTAAAACTAAAAAAATCTAAACTAGACAATAGTACGAATCTATGCGACTACTGATTGCAAATAGAACATGTAATTTGTTTTGTTATTATTATCATGTGAAAACTTGTTGCACTTTATTAGTTTATTTGTTTGTTCATATTTGTTTTTCGCTGTTCGGGTTTTTCCACTCCCATTTGCAACAAGTAATTGCATGCCCACTTACAATGATTACATGTTACATAACTAAAACGATCGAAATGACAAAGGAAATACAAAAACTCCATTTTCTTATAGTATATATTATCAAAATAATAATTAAGCACATAATTATACTGGCTCCAACACGAATACACCGAGATTACTCATTATTTAAACTCCAATTTTTAAAGAGTAAGTAATAGACAATCATTAGTTAAATTCTTTTTAGCACTTGGGTCGTGGCACGCGACAAACCTTCGCAAGCTTTTTGCCATTTTTCGAGTTCACCATCTTCCCGAGTGAGCGATGTTTCCGGTACCTGAAATTACAAAAGCACGTGCTCATCGTCGTCATTATAGCACAACAGATCCTTGAAGGATATTTTCCGGCCACGAATGCCGGAGTACAGGGACGCAGCTGTTTCGGAACAGTAAATTGCCTTGCTTTCTTGTAAATTTCCAAGAAACGTAGCTACCATCATCATTAAAGTGATCACGAGCTGACCATGCTTCATTTTGGCTTCGATGAAATTAAATGCTAAATGTAGAAAATATAAATTGTACTCCCTCCGTCCCATAATTATTGTCCACTTTACCCAATAAATTTTGTCCCAAAATTATTGTCCAAGTTGACTTTTTATGGATCAAGTTACACATTTGTCATTAGTAAAAAACATTATTCATAAAATCTTTATGGTTAAACAATTACTTATGTAGGGGTATATCCGGTTGTTCAAGATAAAATATAGTTAAGTTTGACCAAAAATAAAATCTTTCATTTTAGTAAAACTGGACAAAAATTATGGGACGGAGAGAGTAGTTGGTTTTAGGAAACCTACAAAGCCAGCAATTTATAGAGTAATGAAAGGTGGATCGTATAAAGGTGATTGATGAAATTGGATGAGATTGGGCATTTCTGATGGTGTATTTTGTGTGTGTCGTATGATGGGTAAAACCTTTCGTGTAGAAATGACAAATCGGATTAATTACCTAATACGTTTATCGTATGCAATTTTGATGACCCATGAAATCAGGATATCGCATTATGCGTTGAGTCAAGTCATTTCTACGCTTAATCTTTAGTTTTTTTTTTCTTTTTTTTTGTGGTGTCATGAGTTGTACAAAAAGAATATATAGTTTAATCAATTAGAATTTGACCGATCATCAAAATACTGTGAATCATTGTAGTTTCGTTTTTTAGGGTACATCATGACCTCTTTCATTGTACTTCAAAAATCTTGCGAATCATTTACAAGTTAAAAAGACCTGTATTTTGGGAATAGAATTCAGAAGAGGAATTATGTGTGCCAAACAAGATTTATTCATAATTATGGAGGAGAGGAGAAAGGAAAGGAGCTCTTTATTTTTATTTTTGGATTTTTCGTTGCCTTTTCTTTTTCTATGCTTCTTATTGTTTTTTTTTTTTAAATAAATTTGTTTTCAAGGTAAGGAGCTGACTAATGCTAAATTAGATATATTTTTATACTTCCAAACATAATGTTTTCGATTAGTATTTATATGTCAGAGTTGATTTGGTACTAATAATTAAATCAATAATGATGTGTAAGAAACAAATTGTTTTTTTGAACTAAAATGAAAAAGTATTGGAGTTTTGAATTTGATTGAAAATGAGTACAATAAAAAAAAAAAAAAGAAGAAATCAAAAGGCTACAAGATTTAAGGATCAAGCATGTAATTTTGTGATTTGATGGAGGTTTGGCCGAGGAAGCATTCAAGTTGGAATTGGATTTTGGTTAATTAATTACTACCCTAATCGCAAAAAATAGTCCAATTTCAAAACTAAAATTTAAATTTTATTTTAAAATAAAATTACTTTATATTAATTTACTAGAAATTATACAACAACGATTGATAATGAAAAGATACAGCTGAAACAAGAACACAACTTACAATCAATTATATCACTATTTTTGTGTTTCTTGTGAATAAATCTATCTAAATCTATCCAAACATTACGTTTCATATATCATGTACTAGATAATTAATATGATTAGGAACATAGCTCTAAAGTCTAATCATTTGTTGAAAGTCCCATATCATACATCTATGATAGATTTATGATGACTAAATCTTCTTAAATCACACCGTTTGAAGTAACGAGCGAAATTACAAACATCCGTAATAATACGTAGGAGATCATGGACACTGTAACAAAAATAAGATGAAAGAAAAGGACAATATTATGGACATCATGGACATTATGATGCATCACATCATGGACATGATGGACTAAAATCTAAAAATTAGATGAATTAATTTTGCAATTAATAAATTAATATGAAAAATCGAATAAATTAATTTTATGACTATTTATCAATTTAGGAATAAATTTTAGATTATACCATTTTAATAAGTCCAATTATGAGATTATTTTTCTAAAATTGGTGTATTTTATTGGAGCCGGAGGAAGTAACTACCTAATCAAATTCTACAAAACTAGGGTTTGTGCTTTCCAAAAACCAACCCTCCACGCACCCCACGCCTCACCACTCCATCAACTCATCACCTCACGGCCACAAACGATCCACACGAACTATCATCATCAGGCGAGGAAGCAAGCAGCAACATAGCAACTTCCACGTCCTAGACTCAACTTTTGTGACTTGTCTTTCGCCCAGGACCCGGGTTCCATTCTTTATTGATTTTTATTCTAGAATGATGTATTAGTAGTTAAACACTTTTAATCTAAGGTTTAAATATAGTCACCGTATTGCTTGGTTTCTTTAATTTGTAATATTCTGGTTTTTATCCATAACGTACTTAATCACTATTTTGCATGGTTTAAACTTTTAATTGATGGAGCGAGAATACAAAATTAACATTAGTTCATGGTAATTTTAGATTTAGGTAGTGAGCTACAAGTCTACAACAATAAGAACACCACCTGTACGAGTTTTAATTTTAATATTTTTAATTTACTTTTATTAATCCATATAGTCATCAGAATAATGATATGGTTGAGTAAGAGAATTTTAATACAATAGTGTATAATTCTTAAGTTGGCGAATTTTCGTGATATGAATCACAGTCCCAAAGTCACATATATTTACATAGAGTTAAGCCAACAAATAGAAATCTCGTAAACCAACCAAAATTCATAAATAATCAAACAAGAAAGTACAAACATAAGTTATTTACAAATGATATTTACAGGTGGAAAAAAGATCAGAAACAAATGGTAGTTATCCAAGAGTTTCTGTCTCTTTAATTCAAACCAAGGAAGAAACACATAATTTATGAAAGATTCAGATTATAGTAACTCACTCAAATAGCAAGGAAATCCTTCCTCAAAGGAAAAACCATTTCTATCTAGAAAACCCGAGAGAGAAAGTTCTCTCTTCCTCCAAGTGATAAAGCCCCCTTAACAATACCCATTTTTTTGTCAATAGATCTACTCAGAATTTGCCTCTACAATCAAATCGAATACCAAATTTCTTCAAGTTTATCCACACCATTCATCCCAAGTTAGTGGATGTTTTTATTGGGCAAAAATTTTCTGCAAAATGCCATTTTGGATTGCATGCACACAGCATGATCCATAAACGTAATCCAATTTCAATTTTTTAATTGTTGTTCTCAAACAGCAGGTTATTTATTCCCTATCCTCCTTTCTTCACATGCTACCCAAAACAATCAGCCTTTATTCTATTTGTTTCTTCTCTCTCTAAAACATAATTCTCTCGCTTCTCTCTAGGTTTTGTCTGAAAACCCTCTTTTCTTATGGTGGCCACCAAGCCGCCGGATGATGCCCAAACCAAAAACCTCACGTTTGCTCAAATACTTAACGGCGCAAAGCCAAATCCGAGGAAGTTACAGCAAGGAATTGGAAGAAGGATTAATGAAGATGTGGTTATTCACTCCAATCCGACAATCTTTAAAGGTGAACCAGCTTTCCTATTGACTAAGGATGAAGATGACAAACTTGCCGAGCCATTCCAATTCGCAGTAATCGGAAAATTCTCAAAAGGGAAGCTGACGATGGAGTATCTATGGAATCAGTTCCAGAAGATTGGTTTCAAAGGTGAATTTTCGTTGGGAATTATTGATCATAGACATGTGTTAATCTATTTTGATCAGGAGGACGAATTTCAACGTTCCTGGATCAAGGGATTGTGGTCTTTTGATTAACATGTAATGAGGGTACTAAAATAGACGCCGGAATTTAATCTGGAGCATGAATCTTCTATAGCTCTAGTTTGGGTAGCCTTTGAAGGACTGCCTATTCACAGATTTAACGAGAAGTATCTCTGTAAACTAGCAAGTATCATCGGTAATCCACTGAAGATCGATGTTTCGAGGCTCAACATGTCGCGGCCCTCAATCGCAAGAGTGTGTGTCAAAATTGATTTGCTAAATGATTTCCCTCAACGAATACGACTCAGAACTGAAGAAAGCTCTTATTATCAGCCTGTTAGTTATGAGAATTTACCGGATTACTACTTGGAATGTCATAAACTTGGCCACTTAGTGAAGGATTGTCGACATTTAAAGGGTAAAAGGACAGGTAATGAAGATGCAGTTACGCAGAAACAGCCTGCTCAAAGTAAGGTTGCTACGCCGGTGGTTATTGCAAAATCTAAGGTTCAGATCAACAAGGCTGAGAGGAAACAGAAAGAAAGGGAACCTGAAAAGCCAGTTTCGAATGCTGCAGTGAAAGAAACCTCTACATCAGGACTATCTGTGAGTGAAAAAGCAAAGATTCCGATAGATATTGAACATTCAAGTCCTCAGTTTAATCAGACTTCTTCTACAAAGAGACAATTTTCGAAGGATCAATTGTGTATTGTGTTACAAAATACTCAACTCAACGATATTTTGTTGGACTTGAAAGAAGATGAGGAACAGCAACTTGATCCAGTAGCTGGGAATATGGACAGGCAGATCGTTGTCTTTTAAGATCAATCTGGGTTGCCAGCGTTGAAGAATTCGTGCTTCCATGTTTTATTAGACATCCATGATGGAGATAATGACACTGATGATGTGAACTTTGATAATCAAAACAGATTTCAAATCTGCGGATAGATGCTGACTTAGATTCTGATGGGAATGAGGTTTTTTCAGAAGAACTTCATGATTAAAATAATTTGGCAGATAGTGTAGAGAACTCAAAGGATGATTTCGAACTACGATATATAAGGGCGCCTGTGGAGGTGGAAGAAGCTCGTCTGGTTGTCTCTGATGATGATGGAAAGAAGAAGAAATTGGTGCGTCCAAAGGGATCGACCAAATCTGTGAGACCACAAATTAAAACTCGCACTTCTACTAGAATTCAGAATGATCCCCTCCTTCAAAGTCACCAATGAATAGTCATCTTATATGGAATGTAAGGGGTATTGGTAATAAGGTTTCACAAACTCGACTAAAAAATAGGGTGAGTACTTTTTGAGTATCTTTAGTTGTTCTTTTAGAGCCAATGTTGCCGGCATCGCAAATGGATGCTTTAAGGTTTAAACTTCATTTTTCTTCGGGTGTGGCTTCTTAAAATGGTAAAATCTAGGTTTTGTGTTCAAATCTTTGGCTAATGAATGTGATAGCTGACTCTGATCAAGCCATACATGTGGAGCTGGAACACACTATCAGTTTAAGGAAGCTACAGTTCTCAGCAATATATGCAAAATCAACAAGGAATGGAAGGAAAAATCTTTGGTCCCAATTGTTAGGGTTTTTCCAGCAGCATCCCAACTTTCCATGGATGATCAGAGGTAACTTCAATGTTATTCATAGCCAAGATGAGTATAGTGGGAATGCAACACCTGAGCAAGGAGCAATTGATGATTTTAATGAGTGGATAAATAACTGCAATCTCTCCGAATTGAGTCCTTTGGGCAGAAACTTCAAATGGGCTGGGAATAGACAGAATGGAAGAGTTTTAAAGCAGCTTGATCGTCTTCTTTTCAATCAGGAATGGATGGATCTCTTTCCTAGATCTTTAGTTCATCATTTAAATTGAGCTACATCAGATCATTCTCCAATTCTTCATCTTTTTACGAATGAAGACGACAAAAGGCCAAGCATGTTTCGGTTCCAGTAGATGTGGATGCAGCGGGAAGGTTTTTATAATTAGTTGCTGAAAATTGGCATCAACCTATGGAGCAAGGTGGCATATTGTGATTCTCCCTGAAATTTAGGCGCCTTAAACAATGCCTAGAAGAATGGAACAAAGTTGAGTTTGGTAATGTTTTCAAGAACTTATAAGAGGCGGAAAATGAAGTGCAAATGAAAGAGGCTGTGTATGATCAAACCGATCTTATGAATGATAGAATCTCTCTTCAACAAGATCAAGCTCATTTAATTCAGAAACTTCGTGAGCATGATGATTTTTTGCAGCAAAAAGTGAGATTGAAATGGCTTAGAGAAGGGGATATCAATTCAAAATTCTTTCATGCTTCTTTGACGGAGAAAAAAGCAAGGCTAGATATTCATAAGATTAGACGATCGGATGGAGTTTGAGTGGTTAAAAAAGAAGACATAGAACAGGAAGCGATCTCCTTTTTTTAAAATCTTCTTAAAGAGGAGGAAGGAACGAATAATGAGGAAGCTAGTGAAAACATCTTGAGGTGCATTCCGGGTATATTCACGTCGGAGGATAATAAAGTCTTGCTAAGGGAGCTATCTATGGAAGAAATTAAGGCGGCGGTTTTCAGCCTAGATCCCGTTAGCGCGCCGGGTAGTGATGGATATGGGGGTGATTTTTATAGACATTGCTGGCTAATCATATGTGAAGATTTGAGGGTTGCGTGCTTGGAGTTCAGGTCATCTGTTCCAATGCCAAGAGCGGTGGGAAGTACACTTATCACTTTAATCCCGAAGAAAACTATGGCTACATCTTTTGCAGACTTTAGACTAATAAGTCTTTGCAACTTTCTAAATAAAATCTTCACCAAGCTGCTTATGGATAGACTCAAAATGGTTCTCCCAAAATTGATATCAGAGGAGCAATCCGCATTCTTAGAAGGAAGGGACATCATTGACAACATTCTACTCACCCAACACCTTCTCCAATTTCTTGATCACAAAACGAGAGGTGGGAATTTGATCATAAAGATGGACACGATGAAGGCTTTTGATAGAGTTTCGTGGAGTTTTCTACAAAAAATCCTATTGAAGTTTGGTTTTCATCCGCACTTTATTTTGCTAGTAATGTCAAATCTCTCAAGAAGTTGGTTTTCTATCCTCGTTAATGCTTTTCCAGCTGGTTTCTTTCAAGCATCACGTGGTATTAAGCAAGGTGATCCCCTCTCGCCTTACTTATTCATCTTAATGTCGGAGGCCATAACGCAAAACCTAAAAGAGCTAGTGGAAAAAGGGAAAATCGCAAGGTATGGAGTTCCTGCGGGTTCTAATATTGTTTCTCATTTATGTTTTGCAGATGATCTTATCATTTTCTCTAAGGGTATGAAAACTTCAATGATGCATCTCAATCAATTTTTCCATGATTATGAGGAAGCAATGGGGCAAAGAATGAATAAACAAAAGAGTAACTTCCTTGTGTGTGAGAAGAGTAGCGCGCAACACATTCAGATGGTTTCGCAAATGCTACAAATGCCTCAAGGTACCTTGCCATTTAAATATTTGGGTTGTAATTAATCTCCTTAAGGGAAGGAAGAAAGCTGAATACTTTCATCACCTATTGGAGTCTGTTGATTCAAAGTTAGGGAATTGGAAAAATAAAATGCTATCAGTGGATGGTAGAATTATTTTAATCAAGCATGTGCTTTCAGCTATTCCTAATCATACGATAGCAACGAGCGTTCCTCTGAAATCAGTCATTGAGGCTATAGAAATAAAGTGTCAATCCTTCCTTTGGGGTGCGAATGAAAGTGGCAACAAAAGGCATTGGAGAGCATGGCATAAAATGACCTTTCCAGTAGCGGAGAATGGGTTAGGGTTTCGGAAATTGGAAGATACCATTGAGGCATTTTCGATGAAATAGTGGTGGAAGGCAACCAACCAACAGGGAGTCTGGGCCAGATTTGTATCATCTTTATCTGAGACGGCCAAGGAAAGAACCAGCTGGAAGAGGGTCGGTAAGGTGGTACAAAGAGCTTCCTCAAAATGTGAGACGACAATCAACAATGTTACTTCATCATTTTGGCGTGCTAAGTGGACAGAATTAGGGTTCCTGCAGAGTGAAGTCGAAAATGATCTCCCTTGGCCGAATTTAATTGTTCATGAATTTTTTAATGCTAAGGAATTTTTCTTGCAGGAACTACGAGAGGTTTTATCACCTCAAACGCTAGCCAGGCTATCATCACTATCAATGGAGTTCAATGAAGACCTGGACTATCTAGCTTGGACACCAAATCCAACAGGGAGTTTTTCAATCTCGAGTTCTTCTTATTCTGAGTTTAGGGAAAAGAGAGTGGAAGTTGCATGCCTTAAAAATTTTTGGAACAAAGTTTTACCTTTGAAAATCTCTTTTTTCATGTGGAAACTTTTTAATCGTCTGTTACCTTTTTCAGAAATTTTGCAAAAACTGAGTTTTCATTGTAACCCGTCTATGAGCCCTTTTTGGAAAATGGATGAAGAAAAGATTGACCACATCTTTTATAGTTGTACCAAGGTAACTCAAGTGTGGAATATGCTTGCTTCCGCTTTTGGCATTATATCTTCTAATCATACAGGATGGCAGAGTAACCTTTAAGCATGGCACTCACTTGGGAGTTATACAACGGCACGTAAAACTACTATTATTGTGATTCCAATATTCCTACTTTGCGAAATTTAGAAGATCCGTAACAAAATAGTACAGGAAGGTGATTTTCTCTTCTCAAGTTCTAATAAAGTCTATTCTAACCCATGTTTCCAATCTTTTGAGTGTTCATAAGCTGAAAGCGAAAACTAAAGATGAGAAGAAGGAGAATAAAGGCTATTTACAATGTCAAGGTCCAGATTGTTCCTCGAAAGCAAGTTCTAGCAATTAGGTGGATGCCCCCAAACCCTGGAGAAACAGGTTTAAATAAAGATGGGTCTGCTCTAGGTCAACCTTGCCAAGCAGGTTGGGGTTTCATGATTCGAGATGACAAAGGAAAGCTACTTTGCACCGAATGCAAATACATGGGATTAGCGGGCAACTTAGAAGCAGAGTTAGCTGGAATCCTCAATGGGTTGCGATTTTGTAAGAGAGAAGTATCAATCGAGTAGTCATGCAAACAAATATAGTAATAGTCACTAGTCTCAATGGTAAAGGCACATTTTCTTGGCGCTTACGTTTTATTTTTAAGAAAATTCAAATTATGTTCCAATTCCAAAATTGTTCATATATATCGGGAAGAAAATGCTATGGCAGATGAATTAGCTAAGCGAGCTGCGAGTGGAACTACTTCTCACTATACTCATCAGGATGAACTCCCAAAAATCCTAAGAGGGAAGTGGTATTTGGATAAATGCTCCTTCCCTTATATAAGACTTAAGTAATGCTACGAGCTTAGATTAGGATAGTTTTTAGGCTTAGTGAACAAAAATATCGTGGGGGTTTTTGTTTAACCTTTGTGAGACATTTTTTAGATTTTGTTCTAATACTTAGAAAAAGAGATGCCATGGGATTATAGGATATCTTTGGAAGGCATCTTCTTAGTTAATGCAATCAGAGCTGTCGTAGGATTAGTAGATAAATCTTTGTGTTAATGCAATCAGAGCTGCTGTGGGATTAGTAGATAAATCTTTGTAAGGCAGTCTCTTTTCTTTTGGGTAAGTCTTAAGCACTGCCGGTGTAATCTTTTTTTTGATTATTAATAAAATCGGGGGGATGCCTGCCAGGTATCGTCCTGGTTCTCTTAAAAAAAAAAGAATCAGCCTTTATTCTTGCTTTTCGTTTTTTTGTTGTCCTTGAAATTAAGGCCCTAGTTCCTATAAATTAGACAGTGGCTTTCAATTTAATTCCTTCAAAAAGACCC